AGAAAATATTCTGGAAAATGATTGTTCTCAAATCTTCATCAGAAAGAGAACCAAAACGTTGTGCAACAAAAGGATGGTGAAGTCCTTTTCACCGATGATATGTTCGCGTACTAAAAAAATAGTAATATGGGAGACCTCATGTAATCTCCTAATTATTCCCAAAATATCATTAACATGTACTTGTACTGCTACATGTAGTAGGATGTCCAATATCATATCCCTCGGATACAATATTTGATAAATTTGACGGTATGTTTCAATTCATACTCAATATTGTTGCGTACACAATAATTTTCTAACTCTTAGTAAATTCAATATTTGGTTGAATAACATTAATCATCCTGGTTTGGGGATGATTAGAAAATTATTGACAATTCTGTTGGTCACAACTTATCAAGTTACAAAATTTCCCAAATCATCAAATTTTATGTGCACCGCATGTGCCATAGGGAAATCAGTTTCACAAAATGTTTTCAAGTGTTTCTCTTATCACACACAACGATGATCTTACCCAATAAATTGCTTGACTTATCAAAGTAGGAGCAAATTGTCCTGAACAAAGAATAAACCCATTCGAATGGACAATGTCGGGGAACTCATTTCACGAGTATTTTCTACTTGCATTCAGTACTCTATGTACATACCCAGAATGGTTTAACTAAATTTCTTATCAAAGATAGTCAAATGACTTACATGACCACTCTTCAAGAATTGTAAATTTATCAGCCTCTTGCTGGACACATATGGCCTTATACATCGTAAGTATGATCTAAATCATACCAACTGCATATCATACTACTTTCCCCTTGTAGTAACTACGTGGAAATCAACAAAGTATTTCCCATCTGCAATAATTCGAGTACATCAATGGGCACTCACAGAAAATTAGGGATCTATGTGAGGAATAACAATTTATCCGTCACTCAAAATTATTCATAGCCCGTATGCTGATTGCATCAGCAATAAGGATATTTTTCGGCATTAGGGGAGATAAGTACCACAAAGAATGCCGAGAAATGAATTAGAAATGTTATTGACATTCAATCCTTATATCCACGTACTCAAAGAATCTGAACTAGAAGTTTAGAGAATCGTATATTTGCAACACATTACAAATTTGACACATACATTTACTGATGACAAGGTGTCACTAAATTCTATATTCCTGCAGTAAAGTGTCAGAAAGAGTGGAGGTACCTAATAACCCACTCTTATCCCCAAATGAGAGCAAGAGGGGGAAAAAATCTGACAAGACGAGATATAACTTCTCATATGCTTCCGCGGAAACAGAGGAAGTCAAGTCCTCAACCAGTAAATGTAATTCAACATCAAGTTGAAATACACCTCACTGGATGCTCATCATCCAAAGCCCGGCATAAATGTGCACAAATGTTTTGATGCCGGGACATTGAAACACCTTGACTCCATTTGTTGTAGGAAATCACAAGGAGTTAAAAAGAAACAAATATTTTATCCACAAACTTCAATGATCCCATTAGAATCATATAAACTAAAGACTACATTTATCGACATATATTTCTTCTCAAATTGCTAAAACTTTTTGGGCCCAGAACCAAAATCCATGGTAGAGTGCCTCTTGTACTCATATTGGTTCACATAAAATGAAGCAAGTAATGAAGAATAGCACTCGCTCTACAAATGAGTAGTATTTACCACAGTAATACCTACTCCTCATAAGTATCTTCCATATGGAATACTAAAAAACTTCTCATTCATAGACAAAGTCAATGAGGTGGTGAAAAAGCGAGGCTTGTAGCAAAAGGGTTCACGCAGAGAACCGATTATGATGTAAAATACCCTCTTGGTATGAGTGGAATTATGTTTCGATACTAAATATCATTGGCAATACAAATAATAATAATATCCATGCAGTTGATGGATGAAGTGGCTACATACTCATATGAGTCACTCATTTCGGAAATCTCTATTCAAGTCCTTGAAGGGCTTATACTTCTGAATCCAAAAGAAAATCGCAACAAGTTTTGTGTAAAACTTCATAAGTCACTCTATGACTTGAAATTGTCGGAAATCATATGGTACTACCGACTAAATGAGTTCCTTCTTCAAAAGGATTACTCAAAGAATGATGATTGCTTATGTGTTAATAAGGGAATCCCAAATTTGATTTCCTCATATCACTTAGTGTATATCGATGATTTCATCATCAATGTCTCTAAAGGACCTAAAAATACATAAAATCATCTCAAGACGGAAAATTTGGATTCAATCAAATTTAGCTTAAGCTTACAACTTGAGCATTCTCTCAAGAATACATATCAGTCTACATATATATCCAATACATATACGAGAAGTTCAATGTGGATATATCATACCAATAAAAGACATGTAATATGGTCATACTACCCCTGATAAGGTACAAATCCATTCATACCTAGGGGTGATAATGAAGTGATATCAAGACATGAAGTTCTATATCTCACTAATGTCAAAGCACTCATATAATTCCAAACTATGTCAGGCCTGAATCTATATTTGCTATCTTTGTTCAGAGTGCAACCCCCAACAAAAGGTATATATGGATGATATAAGAAATATTAGCTTATATCTCAAGCTCACAATAATTCTTGGATATTTCCATCAGGAAATACAAGATATGACCATGATATGATATAATGATATTGGCTCTTTCTTTGATCCTAACAATGCCATATCAATGACTGAATTTGCTAGCCTTCATATGGAAGTCATCTAAATGGGCTTTAATGGCTATTTCTAGTTATCATTCTGACATAATTGCTTTATCTAAAAAGCAGTGCAAAATATGCATGGCTTAGCAGAATGATTAACCACACTCAAAATCATGTGGTTAAGATTCATCAGAATCACATAACTTGATTTATCAAGACTCTACCACTTGTGTTACTCAAAAACTATAGGTTATATGAAAAGCAATATCATAAAGTACATTGCTCGAAAATTACTTATCCTCATGAATTATAGAAAGTGAGGAAACAATATGCAAACAACATACTTTGAAAATCCTACAGATTATTCATGACGTCATGATCATATCAATGGAATTTGTATTACACATCTCCAGGTTTGCAGAGTTCAGGGGGAGTAATTTCCCAAATCTATAACCTATTAACAATCTTAAGATTGCATATATTGTACTCTTTTTCTCTTCATGAGTTTTCCCTAATGGTTTCTTATAAAGGTTTTTAACGAGACAATATAAACACAAGTGCCCATATATGTCATACATTTTCTCCTTATATTTTTCCCACTTGGTTTTAAAGGAGTTTTCAATGGCATATCATATCGCACTCTTTTCCCTTATGAGTTTTCTATCAAAGTTTCTCATAATGGTTTTTAATGAGGCAATATCTTATTAAACATCATATGGCATACTTTCTATTTTTCCTATCGGGTTTTTTTTAAAGAAAGTACTCAAGACATATTAATTGTTCTCTAAACTCGTCGATGAGTTTTCTCCTTTCTTCACAGGTTTTTCTCATATGAGTTATCAAGAGACAATAATCATTATATGTTGCATCATTTTCTCCTTATTATTTTATCCACTGGGTTTAAAGGAGTTTTAGCAACATATCTGCACTATTCTCCTCATATTTTTCCTACAGGGTTTTTGTAGGAGACATTCAAGATTATTCAAAGAATTTGTCAAGATGATGGATATACCAAAGAAGAGGCGTTGTACAAGGGGGAGTGTTAAGAATAGAATAGTTGCTTATTAATAAAGCTAATTAGGATTAAGTTAACTGTTAGATAGGTTGCTTGGTTCTCAAGCAACCATGTACTTAATTGGCTCTCAAGGCAACTATGTAATTCCTTGGCTCCCAAGTAACTTTAAGTTTACTTGACTCCCAAGTAACATGTGTACTTCCGCCCGGGTATAAATACCCCGCTTCTATCATCAATAAAGACTAATGGTTCATTCATATATCTGTTTCCATTCGCTCATCTCTCTCGATTCTCTTAACAAAAATGACTGGGCCGTGCCCACTACCACTATTTCGCGTATTAACGTCTGCCGTTGAAATTGATGCGCCAGCGCACCCACGCTGATCCGAACTGATACAACCCAAGTACAAACTGGAATACGCAGCATGCAGGGCTATGATCCACATGCAAACAAACGGTGGAGATTTCGGAATCATATGAGCCTAGTCTCGGAATTGGATATTCGATCTATATCCTGCAACCATGTGAAATATTCAGTTGGAAAATAAAAATATTAAGTTTACAAATAACATCTTTCTTGCAAATAAATATTTACCATTCCATAACTATATATCCTAATTAGTGCTTCCTAAAACCACAACCTCTTCATTGGATGTCCCTCGCGAAAAGAAGAAAAGCCTCTTCATTCGATGTCACATAACGAATGCACGGGTGCAAACTCCCTCACTCGAGGGACAACGTACCTGGTAGTAAACCACGAATTGAACATCGCATAGATGGTTTAGATTTTTTTTTTGTCAGACCCAGCCTATTAGGGTTCAAGTCTAAGACTTGCCACTGGTACTCGTTTTTTCTTTGATTTATAATTTAGAGTTTTCAGTGATGTCCGTTCACTAGGAGAAGACGTTCTCATCGACTATGAGGCGCCTGTAGTGACTTCATCAATTTTAAGAGGTTGTGTTGTCTCAATATCTTGAACATGCCGTCGATTACAACACGATTATAATAATTTTCGTCAATTTCAAGATATTGTACCGACTCACTATGTCAAGATGCTTTATATATAGGGTTGGCTGAAAAACAAAAAAAAAACTTACTGTGCGTGCTACGGACGTACGCGAATTGCCAACAGCGAACAGCCACCTACTCGGTAACGAAGCACAACAAAATGCTGGGATCAGGCGTGAAAACGTGACCGCGTCACTCCCAGTACACCCACAGCAACATAAAAAAGCGGTCGCACCGAGCAGGAGAAGCCACCTCGCAGTCTAACGCACCGCACCCGAGTCTCCCCGTCTGAGAACCCAACCCACTCTATGTCGGCGCCAATGCCTGGGCCGGAGGTGTTCGACGTCGTCATCTTCGGGGCCTCAGGCTTCACCGGCAAGTACGTCATCCGCGAGGCCCTCAAGTTCCTGCCCCCCAACGCCTCCCCGCTCCGGACCCTCGCGCTCGCCGGCCGCAGCCGGGAACGCGTCGCCGCTGCGCTCAGCTGGGCCGCCTCGCCGGGGCCCGTCCCGCACGTCCCCATCCTCGTCGCCGATGCCTCCGACCAAGCCTCTCTCGCCGTGGTCACCGCGCGGGCGCGCGTCCTGCTCTCCTGCGCGGGGCCCTTCCGCCTCCACGGCCGCCAGGTGGCCGCGGCCTGCGCGGAAGCAGGGACCCACTGCCTCGACATCTCCGGCGAGCCTGAGTTCATGGAGCGGGTCGAGGCCGACCTCCACGAGGTCGCCGCCAAGAACGGATCGCTGATTGTCTCCGCGTGCGGTTTTGCCTCCACCGTCGCGGACCTGGGGTTCTTGTTCCACTCCAGGCAGTGGACGCCACCGTCAGTGCCGGTGAGCGTGGTCGCGTATGTCAACCTGGAGTCGTCGGACAGAAAGATCGTCGGGAACTTCGCCACGTTTGAGTCGGCTGTTCTTGGTGTGGCCAACACCAGCCAGCTGCAAGCGCTGCGCCGGTCCCGGCCGAGGCCCGCGAAGACCAGTGTGAGTTACTAATATTCTTACAATTCACTTTTGAAATTGATGATTTACTTATTTTGACAGATTCTAAAAAAAATATTTTAACATTGGAATCTGTTGGGATGGTAATGACTCATGAGGGAATTAACAGTACTCATCATAGTTTTTTTTTTCCACGAGGTCAACGCATCTATGTAGTAGCTTGAGAGGGGTTGAGCGAAATCGAGAGACGCAACACAGACAAAGGTTTAGACAGCTTCAGGCCCCGGGAAACATTATCCGGTAATAACCCTACATGCTGTTTACGGTTAGGTCTCATTATGATCATGAGGGAGTCGCCGGTAAGCCAGCTCTTTGTGTCTAGCCCTGGAGATTATTTTTCGTCCCTCTTTGGGGAGCTCTGTCCCTCCTTATATATGTTGAAGGGGCGGGTTACATGTGGAGTCCTAGTAGGACTAGGACTAGTCTATCCTTTCTCACAAGTTGAATACAAGTCCGGATCTTGCTTCCTCGTAAAGGAAATATTCGTCATTCCTTTTCTCTTAAGCCGGCCCACCAGAGTATAAGCCAGCCTGCTGGGCCTTGGGCCTTGTTATCCGTCTGATCCGCCCGCCGGGTCTCCAATGAGTCACAATGTCCAGGCGGGTTACATGTAAACCGTCATGTCCAGGCGGATCGCCAGTGAGTCGCCAAGCTCCTGCCAGGTCTCTGGTGAGTCGCCAAGCCCGGCCGGGTCATACTGCGGGGTATATCCTCGACAATACCCATCATAGAAACTAATAAATTGATCACCTACTAACCTAATGCGGAATTTCTACTTATTTATTTGCGAGAATAATTCTTGTATTACTCATAGTTTAGGAATTACAATCTCACATCTAACAATGTCATTGATGTCCTCTCGACCCGGTCTGAGCCAAACAGCCATAGGATTGTTGGATCTACATGGATCTATCATAGTTCGCCATAAAATGACTAGCAAAATTAGAACTACGATGTTGTGAGTAATACAAGAACTATGTTATTCAATCAACTTCTTGATCTCCTCTATCAAGAAGGCATATCTTGACCTATTGCTGATTGAGCTCTTAATCATTGCTACTGCCTCCAAGCAATTGGACTCAATGTTCACAGAGAAAGTGCTCCATTGTAACACCAGTGAAAGTCCTTTTGAAATACTCCCTCCGTTTAGAATTACTTGTCGCACAAATGGATAAAAATGTATCTATCTAGAATTAAAATATGTCTAGACACATTCATTTCTCCAACTAGTAATTCCGAGCTGAGGGATAAGCTAATAATTCTGCTTCCAGAGCACTGAACACACGAAGAGCTGATTGCAAGAACAAAAAATAACGGCACCAACCTTGTCATGCAGTATCATAAACATTCCTCCAACACCATTCATGTAGGAGCCATCAGTGTTCAACTGATCACCCTCCTAGGTCGCCGCTTCCATCTGCGACTAGGTGTGGAAAACTGATTGGCATATAGTAGCTATCCATTTCCCTTTCACATGGTCGGCATCAGGCTTAGCCTCGATCGACTGAGGAGTAGCTAGGTAGCTCGATAAAAATCTGACTGAGACTTCAACAGGTGGAGCAGGTTTATGATGCACAAGTTCTTTTCATACATACCGAATTTGGCGTGCACCAACATGCTCAGCAAGATCACAGATTAGCTGCACAAATCACTCATCACCAGTTGGTTGGATTTTAATTAGTTGCAGCAGCTCCCATTCCCATGACATGGCATGCCACAGTTTCTTTGCATTTGTGCAGGAACAAAACGCATGAAAAGAATTCTCCACATCAACGCCACAAAGTGGGCATTTTTCAGTAACATCCAGATGCCGCCTTTTCATATATCGCCAAGTGGACAAAGAATTTGGGGCAATTCCCCACGCAAATGAGCGAACTTTCATGATACTGGGCAAGACCAAATAGACTTTCATCCATCACACTGACCCACTGCCTGACTACTCCCTGAGATAAGAGAAGAATTATGAACATCCTCCCTAGCTATCCGGTAGGCACACCGAACAGAGAATACAACACTTTTTTTCAGGGGCCGAGGGTAAAAAATCCTCACCAAGACGGGAGGACGGCCTGATCTTGCAATTCTCATGTTTATCCGCTGGTAAGAAGAAGATCCGAAGTTTGTTCATACCCTAGCAACCATTAAAATCTAGCAACTCTGAGACCCATTTGAAACCACATCTCCCTTTGACGAGTATTTATCAAAAAAAACTAACACTTTAGAGGTTGGTGTTCCACTAAGCTACCATTTTGAAAACGTCAATTTCTTTTACAACTTTAAGCTAACCTCGTTGCAAGACACTACCAGTTTCACTTGATGACCATTTTAGACGATTTAACCACGTTTATGACATGCATGACCCACCCGTCAGAGCTGACTTGGTAGGAAAGTCAACGCCGTTTATTTTGACCATTAAGTTAACCGTTATTACAGATCTGGCCACAGGTGCTACCCAATGGTCATGCCAAATATGTAATTTATGTCTGTTTGCTATCCTCCAAACTAGACCTTTCTTCAAAAGTTCCAAACCGTGCCTGATCACTAGCCAAGTGGATGATGGATTACCCGAAAAAACTGTGTCCTCAAGTGGATGCGGAATTTCCTTAATCTGTCTATTGAAATTCAAATAAAATATAGTCGGGGTGTGCTACGTTTCCTCACGATGAAATTAGCTTAGCTCGAGTTAGAATAGACAGGAAGTCTCGTCCAAGGTATGCTAGTGTTGTTCTATTAGTTATCATAAAACTGGAACCTTTTATATTATAAAATCCAGTTATTTGTCTCTCTGAACATTTGGAGGTTCTTCCGAAGTGCCAATTTGGACCATATACGAAGATGCATGTATTATATGTGCTGGTATTATGTGCCGATGACAATATTAGTTGGCGTGTTTTGTCTGCTGTCAGTATTCTAGTTGCATCCTTCAATTTTCTAAAACTGAAGTTTATGACAAAGCACCCTCAGCATGAGCTTGTCTTCAATAAGCTGTATGGCAGTATCCGCTGTGATCATATTCCTGATCAAGATGTAGTAAATATCTTAAAAATATTTACCATTCAGAAAATCACAACTTGTATATTGAAGGGAGTAAAAGGTCTAAAAGTTATTGGGAAATAAACATCATTGTGGTGTTACAAGATATATATTAATTAATGTCATAGTTATTGGAAATTTTCATCTTAGTAAACCCGACAAACGTATGATGGGGGAGTGATGGAAAATGCTTTATGAAGACAAAAAAAAAATGGCTTGGCGGCAAGTCCATGATCTGAATTCAACTTACGTCTGGTATTTTTAACTGTTCTTTTCTTTGTTGTGACAGATTGGGCATGGCATATAGAATCTTCAATAGTTTTGTAGTAATTCATAGTTCAAAAATCCTAGCAAAAATGTGCACCACATTTGTTATAGCCTTGATTCCGTGAATCCAATGTGTGCAATTATGACGGAATCGTTTTCTATTGGATAATTAATTAATGAACACATTTGACGTTAAGATTTCTGTATTTGTGCAGATTCCGGGTCCTCCGCCTCCCAAAGGATCGTTGATGATTGAGCATGACAAGGCACTAGGATTGTGGGCCATGAAGTTACCTTCTGCTGACACAGTGGTTGTGAAGAGAACACTAGCAAAAGTGACAGAGCATCCCGAGGGCCTTCCTTGTGCGGATGAAACCTCAGATTTTGAGAAGCATAGGAAGGAATTCTGGTCCTCTATCAAACCTGCGCATTTCGGAGTGAAGATCGGAAGCCGTTCCATCCTAGGCCTTGTGTGGTGCCTGTCTACTGCAATTTTTGTTGGCATTCTGGCGGGTTTCTCCTTCGGCAGGTCTCTCTTGCTTAAATTCCCTGAGTTCTTCTCCCTCGGGTTTTTCAGAAAGACCGGACCAACAGAAGCGGAGGTCAGCAGCGCCTCGTTCAAAACATGGTTCGTCGGCCGTGGCTACATCGATTCAGCCAACGCGTTAGAGTGTGGAAGCAAGCCAGACAAGGAGATTGTCACCAGAGTTTCAGGCCCAGAGATCGGGTACATCACGACTTCGATCGTCCTCGTCCAGTGCGCCCTCGTCCTGCTTAGCCAGCGAGCCAATCTGCCGCAAGGCGGGGTGTACACGCCCGGCGTTGTCTTCGGGCCAACGGATCTCCAGAAGCGCCTCGAGGAAAATGGCCTGTCATTCGACCTCATCTCCACGAGGACCATCCCTTAAGATGAACAGGCTAATGCTTCCTAAACTACATATCACCTGAATGTCTTGCAGGCTAGCAGTGGTCATAGCTTTGCGAATAAACATGCATGTTGTCCTTTATGTGAAGTAAACAGTATCACGACCAGACATGAAAAGCAAGAATAAGATGTGCTCGTGTAATGTGAATCGTATGTCTGTGTGAAATATATAATAAGTGTGTAATCCGTGACTTTGCTTAGTTCCGTCAAAGTGAAGAAATGTTGTCTACGTAAGTTCCAGTTTTCATATGATTATTACATGGAACATGCCAGAGTTGGAGAGTAAACTTGCTCTCTTGATTAACTAATTATCCATTACATCAGCGATTACAGATATATAAGCCCCATGAAGTGGGCACGCAGGCCCGGGGAGTCGGTTCAGATCCTATATACAAGGAGGCGTCATGCGCACTAC